TAATTGAATTACCATCCCTTTGAAGACCTTCCCCAGCAGGGAACCTCGTTTTGATGTTGGTGGTGGAGGAGGGGGAGTTGTGAAGCAGGGACCCCAAGCGGCAGTACCAGTATCAACAGTTCCAATGGCTTAGTGAAGATCTGAAGGTCTTGAAGCCGGTGCTTCTTTGAGTCCGTGCTTCTTGAAGCGTATTCCAGCAGTGTCGGCAGGGTCAGAAATGTTATTTCAGGCAGGGGAATACAATGCCTGGGCTGAGGTGAGTGAAAAATTTGAAGGAGTCGGTCTTGTTCAGAAACATATAAAGGAGCATATGGTGTGAATATGGTATTCTGTCCGGCACTTGAGTAGATTGTTTGGTGTACTCCTCATCATAACCCTGGAGATTGGAAGGCCTGCCATCCGCCTGTTTACACTGAAGGGAGCAGAGTTCAAAGATGCTATGTCAGTTGCTTAAGGACACATGGCGGGCAATTCCTGAAGCTGGAATTTACACGCAGGCCTTCGAAGGGTGGCTTTCACCCTTGTCATCATCCCTAAGCTGATTCTTCCCTTGGAGGAGAGAGTCACTGGGGCTGAAAGTCAGAGTCTTTCTAGGGACCAAGTGTTTCTATATTTCTCATAGAAAGGGCCTTGATCCTACAGTGTGGACTTGGAGTTGGTTCATTGTTGAAAACAGTCGCCTAAAACAGTACCATCTCATGCAGGCTGTAGATAGGACAGGGCTGCAGTGTCACAGGGAAGGAGACAATGGTGGTAGACTTGAGGGGGGTGGAAGGGAGAGGAATGTCTGGGGTAGCAGGGGAGGGAGGTATGTTCAAAGGCTCAGGAATAGAAATGCATGCAGCTTGTTTGGGGTGGGTGGGGGGAGGTGCTGGAATATAGAAGGTGGGAGGAATGAATAGCAAAGAGAGTATTTTTCCAACGGGACAACTAGGGAAGATAATTACTTTCCCCTAAAGTAAAATATATGCCCACCGTTACATTACTCTGCCAGCTTTGAATACAGGCCATCCTTTCCTTTATGGAGTGTAAGGTTTGAAACCCTACGGTTCTAGCATCCCACTTTATCTTTCACTGGAGCACAGTAAAACTAGGTAGCAGGAGCCAGGTGTGGTGGCACACGCCTGTAATCCCAGCAGCGACCCACTACAGAGCTGAAGCAGAAGGATCATCATTTTCAGGCCAAGGAGAATATTTATATATATTGGCAAAGGGGGTGGGCAAGAGAATGTCATTAATAAATAAGTAACTAACATGGGTGAGCAGTGCCAGTGTGCTATGTATGATAGCAGGCCCTTGACAAGCATTATCTTCTCTCTTCTTGAACAACTGCCCTTGGAAGGGAGGATATCCCCACTGTGCCTGTGAAAACAGAGGTGGATACCCAACAGGCCCAAGGTGGAGCTCTGAGGCTCACCACCCAGCCTGTGTCCTGTGTGTCCCCAAGCCGTCCATGTCCCAGTAGCATTCAAAGTCCCACAGCTAAGCAGCTGCAGCTTGATAGCAGGTTGGTGCCAGCTGTTTTTCTCACAGTGGTCCCCAGCCATTGTGTTGGTGTCACCCAGGCCAGGAGCACAGCTGCTAGAAGCTCACAAGCACAAATGGTCCCCGATCAGATAACCAGGCAGGCTCTCCCACCCTGCTTCCCAACAACAGGAAGTCTTCCAGAAGATTACTCCAGGCCTGTGGCTCCCTACACCCACTTCCCACCTCTGCCCCGCCAGCCTGTTCTCTCACCTTCCCCGCCTCTGTTTTCCTTTCTCTGCATCACTGATAATTGCTCCAGGGTCTCTCCTCCCTCATCTCATTAAAAGGTAGGCTGGCCAGGCCGACCTCCTAAGGTTTCCAGCTGGACCCGGAGGCCTCTTTCTGGTCCCTGTAAGGGGAATTGCTGTCCAGGGCTCCCGGGAAGAAATTGTCCTGGTTCCCTTTTGGGTGGTTGTGTAATTGGGACCCCTGGCACATTGCCTAGTCAAGGATCATTAGTTGTGGTGTGTGTCCTGGTCTATATTTTCAAGGGGCAATGTAAAATGTGGCTACAGGTTATTGTTCAATTATCTTGTCTACTTACTAAGTATACCTGCGAAAGGGGAGATGCTTGTTTTCTTTCTTCCGATTTATGCAAATGTTCCACAGTTGCAGTGGAACAACTGGGAAATAGAATTCTCCACAAGGGAAACAAATGAGTTCTTGCTCCGTAACCTTACCACTGAGTGAATAAGATGGCTAAAGGTTTAGTCTGTGTCCTACTCTTGAGAAGCAGCTGCACTTCAGAATCAGAGGGGCCTGGCCTGCTGTGACTCTGACCATCCTGCTTTGCTGATTGGCTCTGACTTGCTTGAACATCTTAACCTCTCTTTGCCTCGGTTTCCCCAACAATAAAACAGGAGCAGTAGTGCTCCCTGTCTCATGGTGTGGTCATGAAGATTCGGAAAGGAGAATATTTATATATATTAGCAAAGGGGTTGGGCATGGCGGTGCTTGGCAGATGTTAGCTGTTAAGCTTGGGATGGAAAGGTGCAGCATATTCACGATAGAAATGCAGTCAGTGTCCATGCAGCTGTTAGAGCTATGAGCTACAGGCAACACTGGGTATGTCATGTGTGCCATTGCAGAGCATGGCATTGTGTCTCCTGCTTACGGGCCTGGAACCTGAAGGGATTGTGTTCCTTGCGTGAAAGAATTGGAGCCTTTTAGTAAGGTGGTGCAGGTCCGAAGACAGTAGCTCTAGTCTTGTGTAAGCACCGAGCAGTTGTCTCCTCCATCGGGCAATTCTCCAGGGTCACTTTGAGAGGCCAGGGTGAGTAGACACAAGTTTGGCTGACTCAGAATTCTGATAAATTATTTTCCAGTAATTGGTCCCAGGAGTTGGGGATACCCCTTAGTTGGAGTACTTGCCTGGCATGTGCAAAGTGCTGGGTTCCATCCCCACCTCCAGAGAAAGAAAAGCAACCCATTTTGTGTATTCATTGTACACGATGGCCTGTTTTTGTCACTTACAACTAGTCAGGCTGGGGAGTGGAGCTCAGTGGCAGAGCACCTGCCCAGCCAACATGCGTAAGGCCCCGAATTCCATCCCCAGTACCTCCCCCTAAGGAGTCAGGAGTATGCCGACTTTCTGGCCCATTATGACCAAGTGTGGAGGTGTGGTTCAGTGGTGGAACACTTGCCTTGCAAGTGCAAGGCCCTGAGTTCAAACCCTTTTTTTTTTTCTTGGCTCCGGTCATGGGGCCTGAACTCTGGGCCTGGGCGCTGTCCCTCAGCTCTTCAGCTCAAGGCTAGCACTCTACCACTTGAGCCACAGCACCACCTCCGGCTTTTTTCTTTTTGCTTATGTGGTGCTGAGGAATCGAACCCAGGGCCTCATGCATGCAAGGCAAGCACTCTACCACTGAGCCATCTTCCCAGCCCCTGAGTTCAAACCCTTGAATGGCCTATAAGTAAATAAGCAACTGCTCGTGAAGGAAATATTGTGTCCCGGGTGTTTTCCATTGGTACCACCTCTCTGGCTGTGGATGTTATTTGAAGCATTGGTTTGCCTTCCAGTATACTAGCAACCTTAGAGGAAATGGCACAGTGATTAACGGGATCCCAGAGAGCAGTGCCTGGCAGACTGTCCCTCTGCCTTCTATCCGTGTGTCTTTCTCCCAAGTGGAGAGATATGGGCTCTTCCATGTATCATTCCATGTTCTCAGTTGCTACTTCCCTCTGCATCTCCTGTGCAATGCTGGGTTGTTGAGGGCAGGGATCGGTTTTTCCCTGCAGCTTCTCATAAGCAGGGAACTGAGCTTCCATAAGGGTCCGCTTTCTGCCACAGGCATTCCTGTGTAAGGGAGGAGAATGCTTCCTGCCACTTCCTGCTCATCCCTGCTGCCCAGTTCTTCTTAAAAGAAACCTTGGCCCTCAGCAGGTGTAGAGGAGACTACTTTGATCATGCATAACAACTCTTTGAGGCTTGGGGAGTGTCCTGGTCTCTGGGGTAGAGCCTGATGAGTAGCTGGGGAAAGGTGTGTAAGGGAGTCTGGCCTTGAGGCCGTGACTATACTGGAGAATTAGCTGCTGCCCAACCCAGGCTTAGTGTTCCTACATAGCTGAGTTTGTTTTTGAAATGTCAGTTTAGCTTTTTGCAATTGGCTCCCATTCCTCAATATTTATGGCCTTGATGAAAGCTGTTTTTATGAATCATTTCAATATTTTTGTTGATATTTGTATGTGTTTGTGTTTAATGATTTCTGGGCTGTGCAGAGATTCCCCTAGTCTTTGGAGCATTTATTTTGTGGGACTGCCCCTGCCTGCTAGGTTCCTGGCCAGAGAACCTTATTCTTACGCAGATGTATATGGTTTTGGGTCAGGTGCTGGCTCATGACCTTTCTGCCCCCGAAAGTGTTTCTGGGTGAAGGATGAGAAGGAAAATAATTTAGCATTTGGGTAAAATGTGTACAGTTGCTGAACGTTTAAAAGGCTGCTAGGGTTTTGTGGCATTTGGTACCAAGTTTCCTTTTTACTAATGTCATTCTGCTGCTTTGCTACCTCGGTCCAAGCTCCATGGCTTTGCCAGACCAAGTTTTCTACCAGGTGTTTCCTTCTGACCTAACGTTCCCCGAGGCAAATTGAATATGTGAATGTTTCATAAGTCAGACTTTCCAACTCCTTTATCACAGCAGAGGTCTTGGCCCAGTTCCCCGTAGGCATTACACCCACTGTGTATTATTTAGGGTCCTCAACTTGTGGAATCTGATTCAGGCGTGGTTTTGTTAGGAACAAATGTTATTGTGGTTGGAATATCCTGAGATTAAATAACACACTGGAAAAGATGTTGCATATGTTCTCCCTCGGCTCCTGGGATTGCTTGCCTGTCAGACTCAGATTTAAATTTAACTTTTAAGTAAGGCACTTTGAAAAATTAAGCGAAGCCAACTCTTGGTGACAATTTTTTTTTTTTTTGCCTCTGCTGAGCAGCATTTCTTTTCTAATAGCATTGCATACTTTACTTTGTCTAGGATTTTCAAGGAAGACATGTCTGACAAAATGTCTAGCTTCCTGCATATTGGAGACATTTGTTCTCTGTACGCGGAGGGATCGACCAATGGATTCATCAGCACCTTGGGGTAAGAGCACCTGACTTCTTCTTCTGTGACAGGATTTGTTACAGACACTACCACATGTGCTTCAAAAGGGTGATTTGTGTGTGTGTGTGTGTGTGTGTGTGTGTGTGCGTGCGTGCGTGCGTGCTTGCGTGCGTGTGTGTGTATGCGTGCGTGCATGTGTTCCAGTGTGCCAGTCCTGGGACTTGTACTTATGGCCTAGGCACTGTTTCTGAGTTACTTTTGTTTAAGTCTGGCACTCTACCACTTGAGCCACAGCTCCACTTCCAGCTTTTTTAATGGTTAATTGGATATAAGAGTCCCACAGACTTTCCTTCCTGAGTTGGCTTCCAACTACAATCCTCAGATCCCCGCCTCCCAAGAAGCTGAATTGCAGAGTACACTGGAAAGTTTCATACTGCAGAGTTTGGTGTATTCACTTGCTTGTGCTCCCTTAAGTCTTTCTTCAGAAGTCTGAATACACACCACCGTATACTCCTTCTGTAGTGCCTCCCTCCCTCCCCGCCTCCCCGCCTCCCCGCCTCCCCGCCTCCCCGCCTCCCCCTCTTCCCTTCCTCCTCCACTTACTGTCTAGGAGAATAAGTGAAAAGTAGTCTCAAAGGCAGACATGGGCAGAATGGAGAACCTACATGGCTACCTTTAGAACAGTCTGGAACAGTCTCAGCTGTCTTTGTGTCGGAAGGAGTAGTTAGGCCCGAGTGGCTTTGTTGAATTTGGTTAGAGGCGGTCTCCAGTACATGGAGGGAAGGCAGGTCAGTAGCCTCTCCAAAACCCCATTCTTAGAAGCAGCCCGAATCTCCCTTTTGGTGATGGCTGCCATTGAAAGTATGCTTATTTTCAGGTGTTTGTGAGCAGTGACTATTCCCAAATTCTCATTCAGGTTACTCTACCCTCAAGGAGGAAATCATATCAGATAAAGAATTATACCTTGATTACATCTGTGTTTGCACTGAATAAAAGTTTCGTTTTCAGCTCATGCCAGTAATCCCAGTTACTTGAGAGGCAGAAATAGGCAGATCACCGTTTGACCCTATTGAAAAGCAGACTAAAGCAAAAAGGAGCTAGGGCTAGGCCTAAAGTAGGAGAACACATATCTAGCAAGTGTGAGGCCCTGTGCTCAAAACCCTAGAACTGAAAATGTAGCCAATAGCTTGGGCATGGTTACCCAAACCTGTAAATCTCAGCTCTTGGGAGGTTGAGGTTGAGGCAGAAAAGATTTGGTCTCCATAAGTAAGCCAGTAAGTAAATAGTCATCCAATAAAAAAAGTGTGGTGGCTCTCATCTATAATTACAGGTATATAGGTGGCTGAGATTGAGAGGATGGAGGCTTGAGGCCAGACATGGGAGTAGGTATCCTGCATGCTAACTGGGAACAAATTCTGTGGTCACGAGGAAAATGAGCCAGTTTTACCAATGCCAGTTTAACGAAACATGGTAGGACTCCATTTCAACCAGTAGAGAAGCTGGGTGCAGTGGCATATGCCTGTCATCCTAGCTCACAGCAAGTAAAAATTCAAGGGTCATAGTCCAGGTTGGCCAGGGCAAAAAGTCAGACCCTATTCAAACAGGGAGCTGGAGGTGTGACTCAACTGGTGGAGCAAGCATAGGCCTGGCACGTGCAAGGCCATGAATTCAAATCCCCCCAGTACTGCCAGATAAAACGAAATAAACAAAACAGCAATCTATAACTTCTTGCTGCCTTTGGTATCTACATTGCAGACGCATCCTGATTAATTTATCTTTGGCTTTTGGCACCGAGGCTTCCTGCTGCTGCTTCTGCCTCTTACCCATCACTTCTTTCTTCTTCTTGCCGGACTTTTTTTTTTTTTTTCTCCCTCTTCCTTCCATCCTCCATCGTTGAATTTCTTACCTCTTCTTATTTTTCAGCAATGACTACAGTAATATACGGCAGCGGTAAGCACTTTCTACGCCCTGTGGTGTTCACTGTGCTGACATTTTCCCCTAGATCATCATACACCTCTGTGGCGAGCACTGTAGTTCAGGACGGTTGTACTTCCCCACCGTAGACAAGCACACTCACTCACGGAAGGTTTCACAGCACGGAAGACTTGGGGTCTCCAAGGGCCCTAGCTGTCACCCTCCATAGGGCAGTCTCTCCCTCTGGGTTCCCTGAACTATGACCTCCCCCACACCTTGCCACTGGCTGCCCACAGTCTGATCTGGATGTCCTGCAGTCCCCCAGGGCCAAACTGTGCCCCTTTTTTCCCTGCAGTCAGATTGGGCGTCCACGGAGCTTCTGAAGCCTTTGACTTCCCTTGCTGCCTCCCTTTCTTCCAGCATATCTGCTCTTCATTTTTTTTTTCTTTTTGAGAAAGTATCTTGCTAAATAGCCCAGGCTGGCCTTGAATCTGTGATCCTCCTGTCTCAGCCTCCCACAGGCTGAGATTACTTGTATGTACTACCATGCCTGGGGGGCCATTCTCAAAATTCTTAAGGCTGCACGTTTTTTGATTTATATAGGCTTTTCTGAGCTATGACTACAAATAATTAAGACCATTAAAAATTAGAATGTATACTTTACCTCCATTTCCATCCTTTCTGCTTAGTTAGCTCTTTTTCTTCATTCCCCCATGGTTGAATTTTTTTTTTTTTACCATCTCATTTTTTTAAACAGTGAGTATAAAAATATAGAATAAACACACATAATTGAGAATAGCTCCTATTGGCATTGGTTTGGAAAAGAAAGTTAGTCCTCCCCTTTATCCTTTGACTATGTTTTAGCATTTCTGGAACACTGGTCAATGAGTGACTGCCTCTTTTTGGGACTGGCTGGTCTGCATTCAGGCCTCATCCTGTTTATGGAGATGGGTGGAAGTTACCTCCCAGGGGCTTTGTCAATTTGCTGAACTTGAGAAATCCAGGAGGACCTTGGAGAACCGGTGCATGTGGGGACCTACACTCATCTGTGGTGTGCTTCTAAATCACCTTCACAGCTTGTTAAAAGCACAGGTTCTTGGGTCCCTGCCTGACTACAGCTTCAGAACATCCGGGGATGAGAGAGTCCTGGCATAAGTACTTCAGAGACAGAAAGTGTCTTAGTTCAGAATCCTTGGTTTTTGCAGATGAAAATGCTGGGCACGGGGAGTAAATGACAGCCACATCATACTACTAGTGATGACACAGTGCCATCTGCAATGTAGTCCTGATCAGGGACTATTTCCTGCTATTTCCTCCTGCCTTGAGAACATGATTAACCCAGTCCTGCGTTGGTTTCTGAGCCCATCTTTTAAAGTGTCATGTTATAGTAGCTTTATTAAACTCACACAGGAACCCAGGAGGTTTCTTACATGTGCACATTATCTTTTTCAATCTTGCCTTGACCATGTGATCTCTCCTATAGCTGCACAGTGAGTTCTTCCAGGTGGTTTGAAGCTAGAGGAGGCAAACTGCTGGTGGCCTATGCTCAACACTGATTCATCCACCAAACAGATACTGAGGCACAGCCTTGGGCTTTTCTGAGCCATGAAGCAGGAAGTCACTGCCTCTATGTGGCTTGTAGTCTAGCACAGCCTTGGGATCAGTCAGGGAGGTTGGGAGGAAGAAGAAAGGGCAGGGAGTTCCTGGAGAGAATTGGCTGGTGGGAGGCAAGGCTTGGTGAAATTGAGAATCAGAAGCTTGTAAGAGAAGTGAAGGGAATTTGAGAGCAGGAAGACACAGGCTCAGTGTTATGGTACCTTGCGTTTTGGATAAGAGGCAACATAGGCTTATGGAAGAAACCTCGAAAAATCCTACAGGCTAGCTGGGAAGCAAACTGTGGTCACGAGGAAAATGAACCAGTTTTGCCAATGCCAGCAAATCACATAACCCCTTTGAGCCTCCGTTTCTTCATCTGCTCATTTATATACACATCATTCACATATATGTATAATATACAGCACATACATATAATGTAATACATGCAAGCATTCTGTACATGTATTACATAGGGTATATACATGTATGCTGTGGCTGTATATTATCATATATTTAGTGATTCTCCTGCAGAATTGTGCAAGTTGGATTTTTATATATATCAGGGCTTTAAATGTGAGTTTTTATGGATCAGGTTAGTTATTTAAATTTTTTCACTCTCTGTGAATTGCTTTTTCAGCTCCCAGCCCTTTCTATCTCTGTGCGTTACACTAGGTTCCTGCCTCCTGCAATGTGCCCCTCTTTTCATCCTCCCACCTCTCTTTCAACTCTTCTGGTAGTTCTACTGCAACTCTCTGCCTACTCCAGTGGCCTTGGGGATGGTGGACTTCTGGTTTGTTCCCTTCAGTGTTTTTCAGTCCTTGGGTTATATTTTTTAACAGTTTATGTATATGGCCTTAAGCTACCTAAGTGCTAGGCTCTTGGTTCATCTTCATTCTCCACACTCCAGGTCCTAGACCAGAGTCTGATAATGAAGATGGCACCTCCACTCCCATTACTTGAATGCATTGATTCTTCAGTGGAATGACACATTGTATGCAAATCTGTCATGAAAATGGTTCAGGAAAACAGTGGCTTCATGGTTTGTGTCCTTCGTAGAAGTAGAACCCTGGACTTTTGGGTTAGGTTTAACTCCATACATAGGAAGGCCTCTTTGGTAAACAAATCATGGAAGAATAACATGGCAGTGTAAGTTTTGCACCGAAAACACCCATAGATTTTCAGTTTTGTACAGCACAGGGGGTTTTATTTTCTAGGACTTGGTTTGATATAATACTTTACTTTCTTTGCAGCCTGGTTGATGACCGTTGTGTTGTACAGCCAGAAGCCGGAGACCTTAACAATCCACCGAAGAAATTCAGAGGTAAGGTGGATGGCTTTCTGGAGTTATCTCCTTGATTCACTTGAAAACTCTTGAGGGCTATTGCTTCTGTGTGCCTAACAAGTGGTTTGTTTCCTTTTTCTTTTTCTTTTTCGTGAGCAATGATAGTTTTATTTACTTAGGATCTTTCCCAGAGTATAATTTTAAGTCTTAATAACTTCTTGAAAAATGCATAAGTAAATTCAGTGCCAAGATTGACATAGCTTTTATTAGAGTCTTAATTTGTCTGTTGATTACATGTTTCTGAGTGCTAATTCAGTTTAAAGCTTTTCATTTAGGCAGTTATTTCTCCAAAAAGGATTTGGGGATCTAATCTCCAAGGACAATTGTTATTTCAGCAGATCTCAGTGATCCTTTGAGGGCCCCAGTAGTCTCAGCTGGAAAGAGACATTCTTGATGATTGCATTTGATTTTTGTTGAATGGTAACAGGTAGGGTTGTTGTCTTACTGGTGTTGGCTTTTTCATTCTTTGACCTCCTGTTTTTGGGGTCTTTCTGGAAAGAAAGGTAGTATAGTTAATAGAAGAAGGTGTTTGAAAATATAGTTAGTATTTTAGATGATGAACACTTGGCTTTTTGTTGTGGTGGTGGTGGCTTTCAATTTTAGCTGAGGAAGTTTCAAATTAAATAGATACTCTGAGCCCTACTCCAGACCAATTACATTTGTCTCTTGGGGTTGGACAGGGCCACTGGCATTTTTTTAAGGCTTCCCAAGTGATTATTATATATATAGCTGGGGTTGAGAACCTACTGGGTTAAATATTTGACTCCTGACCTAGATCCCAAAGAGGTTGAACCTTAACTGTTTGCAGATTATATCATTTGAGTTATAAGTTCTAACTGCTAAGTGATTTAGAAACGGTTTGACTTTTTGGATGAAAGCTAAAGAAATTAAAATGAAATAGAAGGCAGACGTTCAGATGGAAGGCTGCCACTGGCAGCAGTTTGGGGCTGAGCTGAATCCAGTTGGCATGCCACTATCAGGAGACGATGTTTGTACCTAAGGATTTGGGAAACTTTTATTTTTTGGTACCATTATGGAGGCCTTAAGCTCTTGTTTGACTTTTTTTGCTCAGGGCTGGTGCTCTACCACCTGAGCCTCCACAAGGTGCTCTAGGCCTGGAGGCTGCCTGTATTCTCTTCTGCCTAGGCTGGCTTTGAACTGTGATCCTCAGATCTCAGCCTCCTGAGGAGCTAGGATTATGAGGGTGAACCACCAGAGCCCAGTGGGTAGGGGAGAGGAACAGTTTCTTTTTTCTTTTTAAAGGTTGTCAATGGAGACAAGATCTTGAAGCAATTCTTGCTGTTGCTGCATTTTTCTTAATCCCTCCTCCTTGTCTCCTTCCAAAACAAAATCTTGAGTGCAGCACAAATGAAAGGTCTGATGTAATGATCACAGTGCAGTCACTCAGGGTCAGTCTCCTGGACTGTGTCACTGCTGAGGGTACTGCCTGCTTTAGCAGAGGAGGTAGAGGGGGTGCCACATCCAGCCTGGGAGGGCAGTGATCATCCATGGTTAAGAGTCTTGTTGGGAGTCTCAGGGTAACAGGGTTGGAGACAAATGGAGCAGGAGTGGCTCTCCTGAGGAATTCACCTGGAGAGCGTTCAAAACTAATGATGTCTTGAGTCCCCCCCTCAGGGCTCCCCTAAGGCTCCTGACTTAACTGGTCACTGAGTTTCAAAAAATGCCTTGGTTGAATCTCTTGAGCAGCTGAAGTCAAGAGCTGCTGCTCATACTACCTGAATTATAAACTACCAGCTGCATTGCTCAGGGAAGCGCTAATCCAGGTTGGTTTTTGCTCCCGGGACAGAACCGAGCAGTGGTCCCCGGGAGAGTGTTGCTTGGGTCCAGTGGGAGCTCTTGTTGCATCTCTCAAGCCTTGAGAGTTGGGAAGTGAATGGGGAGAGCTTTTTAATACTATTTACAGTTAACCTGTGACTAACCGTTTCTATTTAGAAGTTTTTTTTTCAAATGTTGATTTTTCATTTTAATTGGCAAGTAAAAATTTTGTATATTTTGAAATAGACATGGTAGAATATCTAAATTGAGCTAGTTGAGCAAATACATATTTCTTTGCACATGTGTGTGTGTGTGTGTGTGTGTGTGTGTGTGTGTGTGTTGAGAACCCTTAAAACTTACTGTAAGATTTTTCAGGCATATACTACCTTGTCTTTATCTATATTCATCATGCACAATAGAATTTGGGATTTTTTTTCCTTCCATCTAAATGAAGTTTTGTTTCCTTTGACCAATACCCCCAGCACCTCCCACCCCAGCCGCTGGTAGCTACCCTTCTGTGTTAGTGTGTCTTTCTGTGCCTGGTTTATTGCACTTAGTGTAATGTCTCCCAGGTTGAGGCCACCAAAGAGTCAATAGCTGCTGGACTACTGAGTTAGAATGATAACATAAATTGAATCATACTGAGGAAGTAGGAAGAGGTCCATTTTTCTTAACATTAGGGTAAAGTATCTCATGCTGGTATTCATGGCTAATGTCTGATTTGAACAGATTGTTCCCACCCTCTCTCTCCCTCTTTCTGTCTCCCTATCTCCTTGTTTCCCTGTCTCCCTCTTTCCATCTTCCCTGACCCCGCTTCTCTCCCACCTTTTCTTCCTCTGCTGGGAATCAAACTCAAGGGTCTTCTGCATGTTAGGGAAACACTACTATTGAGCTACCTCCCCCGATCCAAATATTTTTAAAATATAATTTATTGTTATTAAGGTGCTGTGCAGAGGGGTTACCGTCTCATGGGTCAGGTGATGAGTACATCTCTTTTTGGACAGTGTCATTGCTTCCTTTGCTTTCCCAGTTTCTCTGTCCTGTCCCTGCCCACAGTCGCATAGTTCATTTTCCACTGAGAAATATTTTGTTTTAACAGCATAGTTAAAAGCATATTTTACTATAATAATTTGTCATGCATTAAGATATGCTTAAGGGCTTGGAGATGTGGCTCAAATGATAGAACATTTGCCTACCAAGTATGGGGCTCTCAGTTCAAACCCTAGAACTGCCAAAAACAAAAACAAGAATGAAAACAGTACACACCCATGTTTAAAAATAGATACTTGGAAAGGAAACATAGTAGAATACTTAGAAGGTATTTTAACCCCTCATTTAATCCTATGATGAAAAAAATAGCTGTGAACCAGGCAAGATGTGAATAATATTTTAAGGAATGAGTTCCACTTATAAGTTGTAACCATCCCATATTTCTGTAGTTTATTTATTTATTTTTTTACCCTGTTCTGGTATTTCCCTAACTTTGACTAGACTTTTGAGACAAAAAGCAACAGTCTGACAGAGGTCATTTAGAAAGAAAGAAGCTTCACTTACTGGCCTGCTTCTACAGGTGGTCACGTGATGCTGACTTGATTTGTTGACTGCCTTTCTCCATAAATTAAAAGTAAAGTTTTCTAGGTTATGAGCTGCTTTTTGTTTTGTTTTGTTTTGAGCTTGTGGGGAAATCTGTTCAAAACAAGCTCTGCTGCAGGCTTTGTAAATGTAGGTCAGCAGTCCTAGCCTCCACCTGGCAGCCCGAGCCCTCTGCCCATAGATGAGGAGCAGGGCAGATCTTCCCTTGCTGGCCCTTGCGTGGCTGCGGAGAGCTCCTCCGCCATGGAACCTGGGCAGCAAGTACTTAACATATTTTTGAAAGCTTCCCTTCAACGATGGTGCAGCCTACTTTAAGAATGTCTCTTCCCCTCCCTCCCCCCCTCTAAAATGAAGAACAAGATCTCCCTTTTGGATAAGATTGTTGACTTTCCAAATATAAGTCCACTTTGAAGTTGGAGTCATTTTGATGGTCATAAAATGTACGTGGGGGCACTGTAGAGGCGTTTCTAGTCCATTTTCTTGTGGTGCCTTTTCATCTTGAAGTTTAGCACACATGTATGGGGAAGAGGGGATGCTGACAGGCTGTCCAGTGGCACGATGGATTCTCTCTGAGAATCAGCAGAGCTGTACTTAGTCATTTGCTCTCATTTCCACTCTTTCCTTGGCAAGTGATTCCTCTATTGAGGTTTCTTATAACCTGTACTGAAGAAAGTAGGAATCTGAGGCCTGTTTATACAGTATTCCCCATGGCTTCTGACTTCAGAGCTTCTAATTTTTAAATTCCTCCTGGGATTTTCAACAGTGGTGGTGATCTTGGGGCTGGGAAGGTGGCTCAATGGTAGAGTGCTTGCCTTGCATGCCTGAGTCCTGGGTTTGATTCTTCAGCACCACATACACTGAAAAAACTGGAAGTGGCACTGCGGCTCAAGTGGTAGAGCACTAGCCTTGAGCTGAAGAGCGGAGGGACAGTGCCCAGGCCTAAAGTTCAGGCCCCACGACCTACCCCCCCCCCAAAATGTAGAATCTTGGATTAGCCTTCTTGGATTAAAATCCAAGTTCCCCAAATTCTCACCTGTGTAATCCTGGATAGATTGCTTAACCTTTGCAAACCTTGGCTTTCTCATCTGTAATGGAAGATGATCATAGTCCCTACCTCATAAATTCATGTGTAAGTTAAAGATTTTAATATTTTAAGATTTTAGTATTTAGATAAATATTTTAGTATTTGATGAAATTCTGTTAGTTGTGACAACATGAAGGCATTGTGATTGGTAAGCAAAACAACCCAAGGACTGGATGATCTTACTCATGTGGGAAATATCATATAGAAGTTGAGAGTAGAATAATGGTTGTCAGGGAAAGGGAGAAGGAAGGAAATGGAAAGAGCTGGGTCAACCAGTAAGAAGTAACAGGAACGCCGGTGCCGGTGGCTCACGCCTGTAATCCTAGCTACTCAGGAGGCTGAGATCTGAGGATCCCGGCTCAAAGCCAGCGCAAGCAGGAAAGTGCATGAGACTTTTACCTCCAATAAACCATTAGAAAATTGGAAGTGGTGCTGTGGCTCAAGCGGTAGAGTGGTCGCCTTGAGCTGAAGAGCACAGGGACAGTGCCCAGGCCCAGAGTTCAAGCCCCACGACTGAAAAAAAAAA